ACCAATGTTGACATTCACATCAAGATTTGAATGTATTACCTTTCGATACTTCCTTATACATAGTCTGATTTTAAAAATTCCAAAAGATAAACGAAGAAGAAAGTATGTCAACTTCCGTTTTGTTTACATTGGGATTTTGTAGTTGTTAGCTTTATGATGATGATGAATAGATTGTAAGTGTCAAATACACTATATGGTCAACTTACATTAAGTGTAAAACAGTAATATTATATTGCAAACTGGGAAATAGGGTTGTTCTACAATTTAAGCAAGCTTACATTGGTCTGTGTACTTAGTCGGTCACCGAAATTACCGTGTTACAAGTGGTTGTTTTAATCTCATTGTTATACTTCTTGCCATTATCAAGTAGTCTAAAGTAACTAACGAAAAGTTTTAAACCTTCAGAATTTATTCTTATGCAATGTATATGTAATCTGGGCTGATTCTACTAATGTAATTGAGATCAATATCATTATCCACCTTTTTTGAAAATTGAGAATATTACTACGGACAGAATTTATCATATAATGGTCGCTAAGTGATTAAGGTGTTCAACTTTCAACCACTAAGTCAAAAGTGCGAGTCTAGGCCTACATGATTCTGTTTATGTATCCGGGTAGTAGTAGTAGTACTGGTGGTATCATTAGCTCTCACGCATACAATGTAGGTCGAAAAACCTATTACACAAATATGTACAAGTTTTTGGGTGAGTTTATATTACACTACTTGATGGTGAACAAGGAATATGTTGTATCTCAACTAATTCAGTTTTTCCATCTCTCTCTGTTTACTATTTCAGGCTGAGAATATTTACAATGATGAAGAACTTCCATTGACCATTGAAAATGAATAGATTTATATTCGATGTGCATTTCACACTTTTTTCCAGTTTTTTTTATTTACACGTCATTACTATCATATTTATTTACTGAAAAAATAAAAACACCTTATGTAACTAATGTGATGTTTTCTTTTGAATAAAAACAAGACATTAATCACAGTATGTTTGTTTAGGGGTTAGTTCCCATATCATACAGTAGCATTATCAGCTATTACCTCAAGTGGTGTATGTCAGGGTTGTCCACTCTTCCCATTCTTGTTTAACTTTGTCGTTGACGTGCTTTTAGAGATAATACTTTACTCATCTAAATTTCCAGGGATCGAACTTCTACCGGGAGATTCACTCGTTGACTTAGAATATGCTGATGACATAGTTCTATTTGGTAAAGACGCTGACAATATGCCGAGTCTTCTGATCACTATAAGCAACAATGCAAGCATGTTTGGCATGCGATTTTCTCACTCGAAATGCAAAATGTTGCTTCAGGATTGGGTTGCGTCGACACCCGAACTAGTGATAGGGAGTGAAGTTGTTGAGCGTGTTGACCACTTCACTTATCTTGGAAGTCTCATCAGCCCTTGTGGTCTGGTGTGTGACGAAATCTCAGCACGGATACAGAAGGCTCGACTAGCTTTTGCCAACTGGCGTCATTTGTGGCGTAGGCGAGATATCCGTCTATCAAGCAAAGGACGTGTTTACTGCGCAGCAGTTCGTTCCGTCCTACTTTATGACAGTGAAACATGGCCGGCAAGAGTAAAGGATATTCGTAGGTTACAAGTATTTGATCATAGATGTCTTCGAAACATTGCTCGTATATCTTGGGACCATCGAGTAAGTAATGCATTTGTTAGGAAAGGGGTACTAGGTAAGGATGGCGAATCAATTGACGAAGTAGTGAAACTTAGTCAGTTGAGATGGTTGGGACATGCGTTACGTATGCCCGACTGCGATGTCTTACGGTGTGTGAGTAGGTTGGAAGTAAGCTAGGGGCGGCAAGACCAAAACATAGCACAAATTCATGAAGTCACTGACTGAGCCATGTTAGTAGGTGTAGACTACCTGGTTGTGGTCCGCCAGAGGATGGCAACTGATGGTTAGAGATCTTGAATGACATGGCTGAAAATCGTTTGCAATGGTGCAGATGCATCCATTCTTTGTGTTGTCCCAGATTCTAATCTTCATGTCCTTTATTTTCTTTCCAAATCTATTCCACTGAATGATACTCCTTAAAAAACATCATCAAACCTTAGTGTTCCCTTTCACTACTTTATACTTTCCCTACCACTACGGGATAACTTTATCTCTGTGCTAATGTGGTGTGGCAACTTGAACTGATGTACATACGTACGAAGTTCCACGTTGTTACTAACTGACTGACCAGTTATTAATCACAAAAAGTATGTTCCATCATGTTGACTCATCTACTCTGCAAACTGATTCAACCATCTGATAGACGTATTACAGGGTGTTGGATAAAACATAGTTCCTGCGATTTAATTGTATTGGTTGATTCAATCTCAACATTAGTCTTTATGGTTGCTAATGTTCAGCCTATTACAGTGTATGTGCATACTGTGTGGAGTGCCATTAAGTCATAGGCATTACAAGCAGACATTGATGGTGGTTAGCAATAGAATCCAGAGCGAGCCTTCCGTCCTATAGTTTTTGTGACTACGGGTTATGTTTTTCATATTGTCAGCATGTTTATTACTGAGGACTTATTACACAGAAAGGTTTTTATTGAATATGTTCTTAGAATTGCTACATGAAACTACCACATATCAGGTATTTGAGACTAGTTTTTGATTAGTTGTCAACATCGCTCTGTCATGTGTGGAAACTCACCCCCTTAGGTTCATCAAGTTAAATGTAGGTAGAAAGAAATTACTGGTTTGTGATACAAGCTAAGCAAGTATTAGGCGGAGCTTAAGTTTCTTATTTTATTTGAACACATACCTATTGGTACAAGGGGGCAGCAGATACATATGCGCCACACAAATCTGATTTGATTTGTGTGAGGGCTATGATACTGCTGGAGTGCCTAGAGCGAAGTGGGTGGTTTGCTTAGGGGGCCACACTCCGAGCCTTCGACCTGAACGTCTGACCCACAAGGCAGTGGAGCATCGTAAGGAGATGCAGTCCCATGGTAGCCGGTGACCAACGATTGGTTCATACGCCCTTTGTTCCCGCAGGATACTAGGGTCCATGTGCAGCATTGGTTTGAGATGAGTGTTTTCCAACTCCCCTAGGTGGACTCCGTGTCCACCATCCCGGTTTAAGCCCATACCAGACACTCGCTTTTCGTCCTCTCATTTTCGTAAACAACACCCGTGGTGTGAGAAGGACTTTCCTGGCAGAGGCTATATACGCGTGGCAATGTGAGAGCATTTCGAGAGAGAGAGCTGACTTTCCATTCGGTCGTACCAGGTCATTTGGGTGCTTAAGCCCGAGAACTCATTGAGGAGAATACCACATTTTCTAATAATTAACAGATATACAGTAAGTTTTAGAGTTGAAATCGTTGATAGATGTGGAGAAATTTATGGAGAAGTGTCTGAATATAATTCTGTTTCATGTGCCCTAACTATTGAGGTTTTCTCATGATCATAGGACTTATTTTCTAAAACTATAAACAGCCCTGAGAAATCAATGATAAGATTGTAAGAATGATTTTTAGTCTTCGATAATCACAAAGGACTCCACGGGGATGTTCGCACTGATGTTCTGTTTGATACGGAATATACAGTTACACTCATTAAAATGTCTGAATGAGCTTCTCTCTAGCCCACAGCTACTTATGTCGAAATATGAGGCAAAAGGTTTTACACCATCGGTTAGTCGTTGGTAGCAGATCTGGTAAGAGTATGTAGCGATAGAAGTTTTCATACATTGAACTGACGCAGCTACATTCACTAAGCCAGCCTTTTCAGATTGAGAAATCACAGTTAAAATGGTTCACAATTCAAGGTATCCACATTTAGATGTAATATATATAATATAAGGTTTGTTTATAAAAAATAGATTTCAGGACTCAGTAGCTGAGTGGATAACGCGATAGCGTTTGAAGGGAATAGTACCGGGTTCGAGTCCCAGAATGAATATCAACTGTTATGCAGGTACATCCAAATGACGAGTACAAATAGGACGAAACGCGCATTCTGTACTCCACTGTTAGGTTCTATCTTTGTGAATTAAGGCAATACGCACAGTATGCACATATGCCAATAACAGACTGATCCATTGCAGTCTTAAACTTCAATGAGAAGATTCAAGCAAAACAATACCAAGTGAATTTAAATTCACCCCAATCGCACAACCAATTAACTATCAGGACTCAATAGCTAAGTGTAATAACGCAATGACATTTGAAACGAACAGTATTAGGTTCGAGTCCCAAAGTGAATATCAACTCTGAGACTCGAATTTTATTTTATTTTAACACAGATATTGGTACAAGGAGGCACCAAATACGTATGTGCCACACAGATCTCATTGGATATGTGTGAGGGCTGTGATCCTGCTGGAGTGCCTAGAGCGAAGCAGGTGGTTTGCTTAGGGGGCCACACTTCGACCTGAACGTCTGATCCACAAGGCAGTGGAGCATCGTAAGGAGATGCAGTCCCATGGTAGCCGGTGGCCAATAATTGGTTCGTACGCCATTTGTTCACTCAGGATATTGGAGCCCATGTGCACTATTGGTTTGGGATCCGGTTAAAGCCCCTGCTGGACATTCGCTTTTCATCCTCTCATTTTCATAAACAACACCTGTGGTGCGAGAAGGCAGTTAGTAGGACTTCCCTGGCAGAGGCTGTATACGAGTGGCCATGTGAGAGCATTTGGAGAGGGAGAGCGGACTCTTCCCACTCTCGGTCTTACCAGGGCATTTGGGGTCTGAGACTCAAACAAAATACCTAATTGAGAAGATTCAAGCAACAGCAACACCAAATGAATTTAAATTCACCCCAATTGCACAAGCAAGTAGCTATCACGACCCAATAGCCAAGTAGATAACGTGATAGCATTTCAAACGAACGATATCGAATTGGAGTCCCACACACGATGTTCGTTCTGAGACTCGAATCTAATACCTGAATGGGAAAAATTCAAGCGAACAACAACAACAACATCAAATGAATTTATTTCTAAAAAAAAAGCATATTTATTTCTTTTTCTGTTTACGTTGTAATTTATTTTGTTCATCAGATTCTTGTATCAATTTTATAAATTTTGGATCTTTTTTACTTGGATAAAAACCAAAACGATCTCTTGCCTAAAACCCAAAGAAAAAACAAAAACAATCAAACGTTTAAAACGATGCATAACAACTAACCTCTTCCATATACTTATTGATTTTAGCCTCTTTTATATCTTTCATAGATGATTGTTTATCTTCTTGTTCATGAAATTTTTTTATTAATTCAGGCATTTTATCTAAATTTTTTTTAATTTTTAACATTCTATAAACAAAACAAAAAGAAAACAGTAAAACAAATAAAAGAATAAAGTATTCAATTTACAATGTTTCATTGTCTAATCTAGCTTGTTTCTCTTGTTCAGTTTTAGTATTGATCACTTGTAAAATAGAATCTTCTAATAGATTTTCTTTATTCTTTTCATAGATGATTTCATTATCATTCATAAATAATAATGCTGGATTAATACCACTATGTAAACCATATTCACCAAATAAACGTCTACGATAATCTTCTGTTTTTTCTTTTCTACTGGTTATTTTAAAAAATTTATTGGATGGTTTTAGTCTTGCTTTTAAATGAGATGGAAGATGTGATGTATCGAAATATTGTAATTCTATTGGAAGTTTTGAATCCATCCATTCTTGATTCCATCTTTCATAAGAATTTGGTTTTGATTGTGTTATTGTTTGAAAATCATCTAAATGAAATGGTATCCACCAATAACGATAATATTTTTTATTTCTAATTTGAGTAAGCACTATATATTTTTCATGAATCAATAGTTTATTTACATGAGGAAATAAATTAATCATTTATAATCTATGAAATCAAACAGATAAAAAAAACAAATTGATGAAATGAACACATATAAACTGTTAAATGACTTAACTAGAAAGATATAAGTAGTAGAGTTCCTAGTGATACTTAGTTTACTTGCCCCCTAAATGACGTTGTACGGTTGAGAGTGGGGAGAGTCAACTTTTTCACTTGAAATGCTCTCATATAGCTACATGCATAAAACTACTGCCAGAGAAGTTCCACTCGCTACCTACCTTCTCGTGGTATAGGTTTTGTTTACGAAATTGACAGAACGAAAAGCGAATATCCTGGGGTGGATATGGAGTATTCACATAGAGTTGGAACACCATGATTTCCAACTAATGGTGCACAAAATCCAGGATCCTGAAGGAACAAATAGTGTATGAACCTATTGTTGGTCACTAGTTACCATGGGACTGCATCTCCTGACGTTGCTTCAATGCCTTTTGGACTAGACCTTTAGGTTAAATGCCCTGAGTGTGGCCTCCTAAGAAAATCACCTGCTTCATTTTGAGCACCCGGGCAGTATCCTAGACCTCACACAAATCGAATGACTTATGTGGCGCATATCTATTCGGTGCCCCTTCGTACCAATGTTTATGTGTTTAAATAAATAAATAAACTTTACTTAAATCGGTCAGAAAATATTTATATTAGTAAACATTTATATTCGATAAATAACTCATAGATAGTAGGAAGCTAATACTCAAATCTTTACACTTAACTTTCGATAAAATTGATTTCTTTGTGAGTTATCCACGCTGTCAAGACGTTTAAATTCAAGAGCATGCAGAAGTGAATTGATTTTAAAAATAATTAATACTATGAAGGTGTCAAATTATGCCATATGTTAAGATTTCGACAGAAAATATAGCACTTGATCCCATTATTAATTGAGTACTATGAGGAGTGTGTGTTAAATTTCTCGATTCCCCTGATTGAAGACGTACATTTCCTAAATAATGGTTCTGAAAACGAAATCAAATCAGTAACGAAGATCTTGCAAGCCTATTGAGATGACTGCATAAGCTTAATGGATAACTTCTTGAGGTTGGTATTCTACGATTTTCTTATGAGTAGGTTGTTTTGGAAATTTTCAACCATAACACTGCCACCAACAATACTTTGTACAGGGTGAGGGGCGCTATTACTACTCCTGTAAAAAGGCTGTACTACTGGAATAAGTTTCACAGCCAATATATTGCTATTGGATTATTACCTTAGGTAAGCCCACCCACATTACCAAAATCAAGGACGGGATCTAACGTGGGATTTTTGAATTTTACAAAAAGATCATGTTGACAATTAACTTAATACACTTCCCCATTTAACTTTTGACTGTCCATTATTTTAAGCAATATATATGCCATACCTAATATTACCATTTACTGAGTTATCACTAGAGAGTGTATTATTATTTTCGGGATTTTACTAGAAAATATATACAGTAGTTCTACGGCAAAAATCTAAAAAAAAGGGAATTTCGGGTTTTATTTGCTTTATTTCCAGAATTACTAATGGGGCTTGTCTGAAGTTCCCCGTAAAGTAATGAGATTTGCCCCAAAGCCCTAAGATAGAGGGATGTTTATTAGGTAAATTAAAGTCAGAAAAAGTTGTCTTGTACTTAGATGCTGCGTTGAGCAAACTCACCAACTGATCAATACCGAGGTGATTAGGAATTTACTCAAATCTGATGGAGATTTAACAGAGGTTACGGTGACGCATAATACTGAATTGAGCGCAAATCTGTAATATGTCTTCAAACCTCATTCTTTTCTAAAGAGAAATATTATAAGCCGCTTATTCTTTCGATTTTGCATATAAGTAATAAGGGATCACTTTCAGTCACGAAGACGCATAGTTATTATTGTGCATTCTTAGAACCTTAACAGCAAAAATATACGTTAATAACGGTCATAGAGGTCGAGGAGAACGGGAATCTGCCTCACCACTTCGGTAACTTAGGGGAACATCCAGAATACTTTCAACCGGTTCAGTAGAACGTGTCTTTATAGTTTTCACTGTGAAATTTGATAATCTCTGGATTCTAATCACAAAATGGTATACACAAACCTTTTGTACCAGCTCTTCAGTCTTCTATCCTGATGTGTATATTTAGTTGAAGAGTATTACTGAATCACGTAAGTTGTCCATATGATTTGTGAGGATCGTGAGCTTTATGATACGCCAATATCTTGTCACTAATCCAGATGTGCTTTAAATGTGGTAAGGTCAGTATTTCTAGGTAAGCTGAGTACAGCCCAAGTAAACTTTAGGCTTCTCTTCTTTGAATCAATCAGAGAAAAATGCTTTTAACGTAAAAGTAGAAAAAAGTATAGGATATTTCTAGCTAAAGGCTTGAATAAACACTACTATATGTATTGAATAGTTTTTCAGTCAGCGAACCTAAATTTCTAGCAAAACATCCATGATAACGTATACAATGTTAGTCATAGAATGAAAATGAGACGAGGCCACTAGGAATTCGTAGGGAGTAATTTCCAATTTGTATTCAACGGAGAAAAGTATTGTTGTGACTATCCTCGACTAGATGCGAAAACCATTCTTGATCGTCACCCGTTGCCACGCATTCACAACTTGACAGATACCCTGAAATGTACAACTGTTTTCTCAAAAGTCCATTTGGTTAAGGCGCATAAACAAATTCTCTTGTCCGCCGACAAAATTCATTAAAACTCTATCATTACCCCCTTCAGAAGCAGTACCCATCAAGGATATTGTTGCTGAAACAGCCGTCTGTGTCTTCGTCGAACGATGGGCAAAACTTCACTACACAATTACTATTGTTATCATGGTTGAAACCTTTCTTTTTTCTCTCTTTTTTCTGTCTAAATAAATATCATTCTCGAGATTACGAAGTTTGTAATTAAAACAATAACTTGTATTACACTTAAATTAGCTTCTCAGATTCGTTTTATCTTCACTATGCATATATGACTCATACATATTGATATCTCTTTATACTTTTCACTTAATTGAGACTTTCATAGCATCACTCCCAACTATGACTGACATTTATTCTAGCGTCTTACTGCAATAACAATTTTCTTTCCGTAATTATTTTCTATTTCATTTTTGTAACTAATTTGACGATACATACATAGTCCTTTATCCTCGTTCTGTGTTCATAAACACGCTTATAAAAGTATTTGTATGTCTCACGTCTCCATAATTTCTATTCCCTTATTTTCTTCCTTTCCTTCTTTAAACTCAATTCAATATTCTTCTTAATTACATAGAACCTGATGTATTATTGTTCTATTAAAACTACTCTCTTTTTTCAATTATGGCAAATATAATGCTAACATTATTGAAAGTTGTGTATTATTGCATTTTTGAAGAAACACGAAATGGTTTCTTCGCAACATTTATGTACCCATAAGATGTTTGTGAATAATAATAATAAGCGAGTACGTCGTTTTTTGCATCCCTTGTAACTACCAACCAGCTCAAATAACACTCTTCTCAACATAACGAATACCTCCCAATTACATCTCTGACCCGGTATTTGACCGGGACGATATCCTCTGATTATAACGCTGTGACAGATCAAAGCATCGTCAAACATCGAACATCCAGGACTAATTTTTCTTCGTGGAAATAGTCTGTCCAGTTTAATCACAGACATTTGTAATGGGCAATCGATTGAATGCATATTTGTCGGTTCAGTGAATTGTCACTGGGCCCTAGCCTAATCATTCCGGCAATGGTGTCGCTGAATATCACACACTCCATTGATCTTTATCAGGGACACGTACAACCAACGCGCTCCGGTTAACTACATGTCATGGAATGATATATGCTGTGGCGGTCACACTCCGTTCCTTGTACCTACCCCTAGTAATATATTTCTGCAATAACATCGTTTATGTTGTAAGATCATCATAGCAGCTACAGTACCCTGATACGACGAAAGGTTAGTCTACATTAGGTACTCACTGTCAGATGCGACTTCGACGCAAAGCTTTGTATGTAAGCATATATATAACATGCGACAGTGTGAATATTTCGACAAAAGGGTCTTTCGGATGCATTTAGTAAAATCACGTACGATGTCCTACATGTAGTTGCCGTTTCAGTGTTTTAAAAATCTTACCCTTCTTCCTAAACGCTTTGTTTAGTACTGAGTTTCAGATTCTAGCAAAGTTTCGTCACGATCGTTGATCATCAGACATGGGATCGTAGTCTTGGGGTTTTAATCATTCTATTATTCAGGGGAAAAATGACATGGTTGGAGTTTCCTTCTCGTTAGACGGCTTTAAGACGGTTGATACCGATGCTGTCTTAATTTTCACTCTTATTGACTGTATAGCACTTAAGCTTGCGACTAAGAACTTTGAAGTGTCCTTGGTATGCAGTCTTGAGGGGTTGGCATATTGAGTCAGGACGTAGGGAGATGTTCATGCTTAGTTATAAGATACTTACTTACTTACATACTTACGCCTGTTACTCTTCGTGAAGGAGCATAGGCCGCTCACCAGCATTCTCCATCCAACCCTGTCCTGGGAAATCCTTTCTAGCTCTTTTCAGTTCTTATTCATCCATTTCATATCTGATTCTATTTCCCAACGTAATGTGTTGTTTGGCCCTCCTCTTTTCCGTTTTCCTTCAGGATTCCAAGTTAGCGCTTGTCTCGTAATGCAGTTTGATGATTTCCTCAATGTATGTCCTATCCATTTCCATGATCGTTTCCTAATTTCCTTTTCAGCTGGAAGCTGGTTTGTTCTCTCCCACAAAAGGCTGTTACTGATGGTATCCGGCCAATGGATGCCGAGTATCTTGCGTAGACAGTTATTGATAAATACTTGTACCTTCTTGATGATGGTTATTGTAGTTCTCCACGTTTCAGCTCTGCACAGTAGAACTGCCTTGACGTTGGTAATGAAGATTCTGACTCTGATATTGGTTTAAAGTTGCTTTGAGTTTCATATGTTCTTCAATTGAAGGAATGCCGCCCTTGCTTTGCCAACCATCGCCTTTACGTCCGCATCTGAACCTCCTTGTTTATCGAAGATGCTTCCCATTAGTTATAAGATAGGCCAGCCGAAAACATCAGTTGGTTGCGGTCGAGTAAAAACAGGTTTAATTAAACGCATGGCGTTTGTAAGCCTTCTTGTGTAGAAGTTCAGATATATTGAATCACTGAAGATGAAAGATTCACAAATCCTCTTGGGAGTCGGAGTGTCATTCCGTAAGTGAGTCGTGCTTCAGTATACTCAGTGTCAACTTTCACTGCATTGCGAATATCGAGCAACACGAGTGGGAGGGATTCAGTTCAATGTGATACGTTGGCAACCCAGTGTGAAGTCTTCAACTATCAATGATGTCACTCTACTAACCCACTAGCTTGTGAATGATAGATTTTCGTCCGGAATCATGTGTTTTCTAGTATTATAGCAAGACAACGGAAAAGCTTAGATTGGGACCGGCGTCCACGATCTGCAATAACAGTCGAGACGTTTTGCCCATCGTTCGACGAAGACACAGACGGCTGTTTCAGCAACAATATCCTTGATGGGTACTGCTTCTGAAGGGGGTAATGATAGAGTTTTAATGAATTTTGTCGGCGGACAAGAGAATTTGTTTATGCGCCTTAACCAAATGGACTTTTGAGAAAACAGTTGTACATTTCAGGGTATCTGTCAAGTTGTGAATGCGTGGCAACGGGTGACGATCAAGAATGGTTTTCGCATCTAGTCGACGATAGTCACAACAATACTCTTCTCCGTTGAATACAAATTGGAAATTACTCCCTACGAATTCCTAGTGGTCTCATCTCATTTTCATTCTATGACTAACATTGTATACGTTATCATGGATGTTTTGCTAGAACTTGAAATTTGTAATACCAAAGGAGAAGGGAAAGTTTAAAAAACATATTAACCTGAGAAATGGAGACGCACATGAGACTACTGAAAAACATTTAGATAGAATTATAACGGAATGCCTTGGACGGCATGGGTCGGAGAATGATGGTGAGTCGCTGATGCTCCTTCGGGAGTAACGTGTGTAATGCAGTAGGTAATTACTTGAAGAGTTCTGAACACTTCCAGGCGTCCTCTTGACCCCTCAATTAAGCTTAACTCCAATACAAATTTTAGGTGTAACACTCAGAACCCTGTGACACACTACAGCTTAACGGATTGTAGGTCAACGTTCTACTTTTTCAGAGTGGTCTTACGCAAATTCTCAGTTCTTAAAAAATGAAGCTCGATATAATCTTAAGGACTAAGGACAGCGCCTTGCCGTAATTTTCTGATTGTTTCATCTTTCATCGTTAATAATACTGAATTTATTACCTGAAGGCCATGGTGATACGCTGCTTCTTGGTACGGAATTCCTTTAAGCAAAAGCTTCTTCTATTCCATTTAGGACCATGTGAACCAATTCAGCCTCATGATGATAGTCCCATAACTCGATTCAATGTCTCGCAACCGTCTCGGTAAACATGACAAATGTTACAAGTATTGCATACGGCCTCTTTTTTAAGACCTCTCCAACTGCCGTGTCGAATTAACCCATGGTGATGAAAACTGGTGTCTTGATTTCCTTATGTGTGAACTTGATTGATTTTGCGTTGGCGTCCTAAGTTTGGGAGGGTGCTTATTTCGCGCCATCGCACAAATTCATGATTCCTACATTTCCAAAATTTGGTCTGTTAATGGTCTCTGTGGAGATGAACAATTTGCTGTGAACTATTAACAAAACTGATCAGGCCGTCAGATATGGGCGATTACTTCACTGGGTTGATTCCGGGTAATCCATTTTATTTTGTAGAAGGCGAATACTCTGGGGTTCACCAATATGCCTGTGTAAAATGAATGATACGACCTGATATGACATTTTTGAATTTTATCAGCAATCGCTTGTTCTTGTGGACATTCAAAAACATGGTCCCCATGCTAGAGACGACATCCTATGTCCAAACCTGAGATCAGTGAGTCATCAACGTACACACACACAGAACTGAATCTCTGGACGTTTGTGAAGCATTTCTGAGGCCAAAAGTCACGCACAAAAAACCGTAGGGTTCGAATAGCGTGACGATAGCCGCTTTAGGAATGCCATTCATAGTAACTTTAATTAACCTCTTCAACAATGTTGACTTTTGAGTTGACAGTTGTGCCTCTCAAGGTATTTGTCAAGCCATGGATGTACAGAATTGTGATCCACTATGATATTAGTACTGCTCTAATAATAGACCTAATCCTAAAATTGTAGATTTGTTATGTTGTAACTGCCTAATTTATAAGATCTTACGTGGAATTTACACCATCGTCTACAACATCTCATTGCATTGTAACAACTACCAATACGTGATAGAGAACAAGTTTAAGAAGATAACATCCAGCTGGGACCACGCCCGCAAGGCCGAGCCATGCCACTTGACCGATTCGTATTATTTCAATTCCTTATCCCCGCCTTCCCCATTGTTCTGTATTTCTCGGCGTTAAATGTTGAATGTCTATTTCTCATATTGTCTCGTGGTAGGGCCCAATGCTACTAAAGATGAACGGCAAGAGGTAGTAATCGTGTATGGTTTTCGTATCGCTTCACCGATGATCATTTAACGCTAATCATTTCTACTCTTTCAAGGGATCATATGCGGAGGAGATGTTATTCGATGACCGGAAACTGAACAGATCTACCATATGCTGGAATTCGCTGTTGGCCAGTCTCAGCTTTCTAGGAGTTGATTGGTTCACTTCCGAAAACGCAGATAGGCTTGTAGTCGCGACGTTGTGTGTAACATTGCTGATTAAACGTGGTAATATCTGTCGTGTTTTGCAAGGTTCATGGTACTTGAATATTTTCCGTTAGAAGTATGGATTGATTATATATTTAATCGCAACCGAGGATAACCGGCAACCAGAAAGCGTAGTCCCACAGATAAGTGACGCAAACAATCTAACTGGAGTCAGATAAAGGGTCCGCTAAAGTATGATGAGATTCAAAAAAATCACGGATAAATATACCGTGGGTAGCGTACCTATTGAAGTCGCGTGGTGGCAGCTTCACCACTGAGAGGAATTGCGCATGTGTATATCACGCCATGCTTGTGGAAATCAGCTCCTGCGTAGCAGAATCAGGCTTCGATATAATCAGGCAAGAATAGTATGAGTTCAAGTACAGGAGGTGTAAGAGTCCTAATAATTAACAGTTTGGGTGTTTGTTCCGTCAGTCTGTACTTAAAACATATAAACTAGTGAAAGGTGATAGGATACGAAAACAATATCAGGATACACAAGAATAAAAAATGCTATATAATGTTGCGACTAGGAACAGACAGATTATCGTTTGGTGTACCAGATCATGTCTAGCACACCATCAAAGACGCTACAGATATTCAGGGTGTGACAATGCTTTTATCTGTCACACCGTTATAATCAGAGGATATCGGCCCAGTCAAATACGAGGTCAGAGAGGTAATTGGAAGGTATTCGATATGTTGAAGGCTGTGTGATGTAAGCTGGTTAGTAGTTGCAAGGGATGTGAAAAACGATGTACCCACTTGTGATCTCGTAGGGGTGCGTGAACGAGCGCCTTTGGTTAGGTCATGTCCAGTTAAACTAATGCGGTCAGCATCAATGTTGAAGACTTACAGGACTGTTTATTTTGTGGATATATTTACCGCTACAAACACATTGGTCATTCCAGAAGTTTTGTTCCGTAGAATGTTTGGACTTCGGGAAGTGAAAAGCTGGAGAAGTATCAGTCGTATTACATGCGTTTATTTTATAATCCCTGGTCTTCACCAATTATTCTAACTCTTAAATGCAGCAGTAAAACTATGTTTTCCGAAATTCTGAAATACACGATGTTTGATTGACTGTTTCTGACTCCTAATTTCGCTTCTCATTTACCCAGTATCAGATGGTTACGACTTTAATGGCTGTATGCTGGAAGTTTATCATTACTCCTCAAATCATATCAATTTATGTGGATAAATTATCACATTTGCTGAAGTGATTTGTCATTAAACATAAGCTATGATAGTACTGCTGTTTATGTCATGGAATATCTACGAAGTAAAGGAAAAACATCAATGAATGAACATCATGAGCATTGGATATTGATTCACAGCATTGGATGTTGGACTAGTTATGTCCACCCTAATAGTTCTGTTTTAGATAGAAATAAATACAATTTTTGCTATTTTATGACGTCTGACCAATACCACATGGATGTTAACGCTTATCTAACAAGTTCTGAACGGTCATGATTATACGTTGTTTGATTATACTCCTTCGCATCTTTTTAGTATATTTTGGCAATGTCTACATGTAGCAAACTCTATTCAATATTAAAATCACCTGATAAATTGAAAATACCATCTGTTGACTCTCATATGGATAAGAACCCCATGGTCCCAGCTAAACGTCTACATACGGAGGGTATTCTGTGGCAATGTTGGGAATGTGGCAAATCGTATGAAACTGGGTTTCGACTTTCGGAACACCTTCAGAATTGCAAGAAAGATGATGAGGTTTGTGAACAACTACCCGGTTGCCCTTTCTGTCCTCGTGTAATTAATCAGTCAAATGATGCTCCTTTTCATATCCATTCATTCAATACTCATGTACATAGATTTCATCCAGAAATCAAGTCTTATATGTGCAGCTATTGCTTGGATTTAATTCATTCGTGCAAAATCGAAGATTTAGTATCTCATATCATCAACGTCCATAAAATACCTTGGAGGCCATCTCCAGGTAAAGTGATATTTTTAATAAATATCTAACTTAATTTCTGTATAACTATCTCATGTTAATGTTTACTTATCGTCTCAGTAAACTTCGCTGTTACTGACTGTATGTCAGCTTTCTTAAAAATCATTACGAAGTATTTATTAGTGATGTGTTCATTAGGCAAAGCCAAATGCATGAATTTTACCTGGTAAATTAGGTAGAATGAATACCAAGAATTTCATATTTCCACTAAGCATATAGTATATATAGCAATTTTGTCATTAGTAATGCTGTACTGCTTATAGTAAATATGGTTGTTTATAAAGTAAACTGAACGACCAACTATTAATAGATTTGAACTAATAAATCTTAATTTTCTATCGTTGCCAGGACTGACCTAGTATAAAACAAGCTCTAGAATCGTCCTGTATTTGCAAGGAATTGCGTTAGCTTTTTGCCTTCATAATTATTAGGATAATAAGTGGTAGAAAAATTTTTAATTTTAGGTCCACTCGATTTTTTGTGTGCACGATTGTCCGTGTTTACTATTCACTCAGTCTTCTCATGGCTTTCGTGGTGCATTTAAAAATATATAACTTTTTTACGACAAGTCTTACAGGGGATTGCATTTCCGGAGATCTTATGTTCCTAGCCTTACTTTGCTCATTTATTTTGGGGACTCAAATATACTATATAGAATTATGTCATCTCTCGACCTTGTATGATGAAGCACAAAAGTGTTTACTGTGATACATACCACGAAATATTAGGTAAAAGCACTTAATTGATCAGTGAAGTCGTTAGATTAAGCTCAGTCAGACATCTCAGTGAGATCTGTGCAACTACTGGTTTTTGGTTATAAGCTGGGTCGGTATCCGATATACTTGAGTCTCCGGTTTTTCTGCGTCAGTTCTGGTGATCAGTAGATCGAAAGATTGTAGTTTGTTGTTCGACTTGTTTTCTATTGAGTTTTTATTTCATAGAAGACGATGTTGATGAAATGTAGGTGTTTCCCAGCTCTTCGTCTTTCGATTCTGACGAATGCGTTGTAGACAAAATGAATTCACGTCCAACCTTTACAGTGTTCTTGATTTCTAGAGTTACAGATACGTTTTGTTACGGTTGCACTAGTACTATTCCTGTCAGAAAGCTTTCCGGCTGATTATATTACTATCTAGCATATTTGTCACCATCAGAAGTTCGTGTCTATAACAATGGTATCATATCCAACAACATAATATGAGTATCTATATGTATCATCCTACATCTATCTGACTAAACCTTTTTACGATTAAATAGTTTTCACTGGGTAAATGTTTACTTTTAATAACAATAATTTTATGGAACACAATTCATTGCATTATCTTATTTTTAATTTGTAGCTTCTCTAGCGCATTTACGAGAAAATCAACTTCCTCATCGAGTTGTTACTTGTTTAGGATGTGGATGGTGCACATTTGTTTTACGTGCTAATAATGCAGCGCAACCACCTACCTCTTTAGAAGCTCATATGAATCGATGTTCATTCAATGGTGGTCAAGTACATCTAACGCGTTTATCTGAAGAAACTTGTATGTCTGCGTTAGAAAAGTATAAAGTTTTACAAGAATCGGAGTTGATTAGTACTACTTTTGCTCAATCTTTTCCACACGTACGAGGATTTATCGGTAATTCTGGATTAAGTAATAGTCCATTTCGTTTTCATCGTTATTCTGGTAACATTGCATCTCGTGTGAGTTTCTCTTTCATTAAATCTGTTTTTATTACCAGTCAAAACTAAACACTTCATTATATATGTTTAATTATGGTTTAATTATGTTGCTTTCATTGTTATTCTGAGGAACATCAGCGTCTACTTCATTTAGAAGGGAAGTAATGACAATGACGACAATGAAGGCTTCGTAATTAAACCATATAACCCAAGGAACCCAGCTCCACCAAAAGTATCCTTCTAAGCTACAAGGTTTCTTTATTATTTCAATATAATAAATGTGCCTTCATATCACTAGAGTACTTCAATCTTTAATATTATTATGAAGAGCATCTCACAGCAGGTAGGGTCTCATGCCTAAATAAACATTTTTAGTTATTATTCAATTTATTTAAATAACGAAAAAAATGGACGGAATTCATAAAACTATGTGATATTGTAATATTTTACCATGTTCTATTAGTTTGTAGTACTTACTTATTTTTAAGGATTACAAGATTCCAGAACGCCTCATGATTACATTCAAGATGTTTGATCTCTCCTATTATAAAAATTATTATTCTTTATTTGAGCACACAAATACTGGTACAAGGGGGCACCAGATACATATGCGCCACACAAATCTCATTTGGTTTGTGTGAGGGCTGTGATACTGCCCGGGTGTCCAAACCGAGTCAGGTGGTTTTCTTAGGGGGTCACACCTGGAGACTTTGACCTAAAAATCTGATTCACAAGGCAGTGGAGCAACGTCAGGAGATGCCGACCCATGGTAGCCGGTGACTAACGACAAGTTCACACACCACTTATTTCCTTAGGATGCTGGGCCCTATGTGCACCATTGGTTTGAAATCAGTTTTTTAACCCTACTATGTGGATCCTCCATACCCACCAGCGGGTTAATTCTCAGAACATTCGCTTTCCGTCCTCTTATTTTCGTGAACAACACCTGTACTGCGAGAAGGCAATGAGTAGGATTCCCCTGGTAGTGGTTGTATGCACTTGGTTATGTGAGATCACTTCGGGAGGGAGAGATAACTCTTCCTACTGTCGACCGTACACAGGGCGTTTGGGTGCAAGGTTGTGATGGAGGTGGGATTCACAATATTGCATTTGCTCGTCATTCCTCTAGAAGTATAGTTCTGTAGAATTCTTCGATACATACCTTGTATACTGTCTTCTCGTACCATATTATCAACGTTCATTCTTTCTCATTATCATCGTCATTGCATTATTCAAACTCATTTATTATCTATCTTATTAATTTCATTTTGTGATGTTGAATGGTTAGAGACTTTAGATAATATTGCCGAAAACCGTTTGCAATGGCGCGTGTGCAGCCACTCTTTGTCTCCTTGCAAACTTTGTTTTCTCTTCGAATCGTATCTTCGATATCCAATCTTTCCTATTACGTTTGATACTATTACTATCTCGACCTGACAACATTTCGGTATGCTAATAGGGTAGGGCAATTTGAATCGATGTAAATACGTACATGATCTACGCTGTGACTGACTGCCGATATGGTATGACAGCATGATCTAAAGTCAGTGATTGCATGGGCTATTGTCATGATTTATTTCCCCTAGCTTTCTGTTAACCTAATTCTACATCAGGAATCGTCATACATTGAGGTAGGTGATATCTAGGAATAAGTAATAACATGAGTTTGAATGTAGTTATTGAATTATGTTAACCTGTTTCTTTACTATCATTTAAAATATTGGTCAGAATCTGTCTTGAACAATATTAAGAGATCCTGACTATATTTTAACCAAATCTAATCTCAGTGACTAGAAAATCTAGTATGAAATGTGTAAAGATTGTGATAGATTCGAACTTACAAAACTCGTTTTTCTCCATCTAATATGTAATAAATGCTGATTATTCATTTGTGAAGTAGGTAGCTTATTACGTAACAACCAACTATAGTCGTGGACTCGAATTTCACTCCATCTACTTGGCTTTAAACAACCAGGTAGTATCATTAGCCCTATTACTTTGTAGTGTGGCGTCGAGTCACGGTTTACTATGAACACCACTACAAGAAAAGCGCGTACTAGAAAGTCAGAGCGAAAAGAATATTTTCCATAAGTAAATAGTTCATCATGTTTTAGTGCGTGGGCTGGGATACTGCCCGGGTACCCAGACCGAAGCAGGTGGTTTTCTTAGGGGGCCACACCCCGAGCCTTTGATCTAAAGGTCTAGTCCACAAGGCAGTGGAGCGTCGTGAGGAGATGCAGTCCCATGGTAGCCGGTGACCAAAAATTGGTTCATACGCCATTTGTTCCCGCAGGATACTGGAGCCCATGTGCACCGTTGATTTGGGATCCGGTGAAAGCGCCGGACATTCGCATTTCGTCCTCTCATTTTTGTAAACAACAGTAATGCCACGAGAAGGCAGTGAGTATGACTTCCCTGGTAGAGGCTATATACGCGTGGCCGTGTGAGAGTATTTCGAGAGGGAGGGAGTGCCCACCCCACTCTCGGCCATACCAGGGCATTTTGGGGCCGAGAGATGGTGTAACACAGTGGCTAGAGACGTTATCAGATATGGCTCAGAATAGAAGCCAATGGCAATCCTGCTGTAACGTTCTTTTACTTTCTTCATAAAAAGTGGTTGCTTCTTCCTTAACTGAAAGATTTCTTCTGGTTGTACTTTTCCGTTCTTCCCATTATTGTTCCGTCTTTCTTTTTTTGTAATTCTTCACGTTCATTACTTTTTTTGTCCTTCTCTTCAAATTCTCATTGTTTTGTGTGGCGCACATATATTTGGTGCTCCCTTGTACCAATATTTATGTGTTCAAATAAATAAATAAACTAGAAAATCAGAAGGCAAAAGAAGGTTGTAACCAGATTTATACGTTGGCGATCTTGTAGTATCGAAAGTATACCGAGATTGTGCCAAAGGAAATACAAGTGGAATTACTGGGCGAGCATACGTGCGTACAAGGTCACAATTAACAGAAAAAGTATGAATGTCATTAGTACAGTTAAACAAACAAGTACAGTAGAACAATCACTAGTACAATTGGTTATAATAGTAATTGTTTCCATTACACTAATCACGTTCTGTTGATAGAAGTAGATCACTACAACTTTAAGTATGCCTCATATCCAAATACCTGTTAAATAAGTTAATTTAACATCAATTGTCATTTATCATTACATATACATAATATCTTTTATTTGTTACTCTTTTGATAAGTTTGATTTTTGATCTTATTTATAATAGGCAACGGATAATGTTGATAATACATCAAATCCTATTAGCAATAAAATCAATTGCCTTTCTACAGATAATACTAATAATAAATTATCAATTAAACAAAAATCTAAATTGGAAACAGTTTTAGAAAAATCAGATTTTCAACAAAAAGAAACATTTTTTGATATTCCATTAACTATTCCACCTCCACCTCCATTGTCACGTACTACTACTACTACTACTAATATTACCAATACTACTGGTCAAATAAAGAAAAAATCTACTATTGGTCGTTTATTTGTATGTCCATTATGTGGTGATAATGCATTGTCTAGTTTACGTGAACGTGATGAACATTTACAATCTTCACATAATGGTGAACTTGTTTTCCCTTGTCAGGTTTGTAAATTATTTTATTATATATATCCATCATTGTTCACATATAAACTTAATTATTCATATTAAGTGAAACTTCTTAATGTATTAACTATGTAGATTTGTCTGGTGACACATTTTTATGATAATTTTTTAGCTAAATTATCCATGAAAACTGTATTGATTAACATCTCAAATAATAATGACTCTTCATTAAATGCCTCCTATTTACAATTGATTAATGAACACTGTTATGTATGTCAGTCATTCAGTCAGTCAGCTGCAACGTAGGACCAGACATATATATACATCAGTCCAAGTTGCCATACTGCATTAGTACAACAAGATGAACACCGGATTCATAGAAGTAGTTAATTCAGTGGTGGTAATATATAAAAGAAAGATTGTGTATAAGGAGATAGTACAGGAAGATAGAATTAGTTCGTAGAAAGAAAGATATGAAGCGATTAATAATCTCTTAGTTTGACGGAAGATAGAGAGTGTATACACCGACGCCATTGTGATCGATTTTGAGCCATGTCACCAAGAGTCTCCAACCATTGGTTACGATAGTCACGCGGACCCCAACCAGGTAATCTACATCTACCAACATGGCTCAGACTATAAGTTAGTGTCTTCAAACACTGATGCCAGGTTTTGATTTGGCCGCCCCTAACTTTCTTCCAACCATCCAAAACACCAGTTAGCATTGCGCGTCGTGGTAATCGGTGTTCAGGCATACGCAGCACGTGGCCCAACCATCTCAGTCGATGAAGATTCATAACCTCATCAACTGATTTACCATCATTCTAATAACCTGCGTCTAACCTCACTATTACTTACCCGGTGATCCCAGCAGATGCGAGCAATATTTCTAAGGCAGCTGTTGTCAAATAATAGTAGCTTACGAATATCTTCTACTCTTAAAGGCCATGTTTTGCAGCCGTATAGTAGGACGGAACGAACTGCCGCGCAGTATACTCGTCCCTTAATTGATAGACGGATATCTCGCCTTCGCCATAGGTGACGTAAGTACTGATTGCATTCGATCGATCAAGTTGTATTGACTCTATCGCTCGTACCTTGTTGACATTTAAGGTGGTGGTCTACAGGATACCTTACATAACGTAGGTTTTGTCCTATCTGGCACATTTCAGCAAGGTTTATCTGTAATATTGGGGGAACTAATGTTCTCTAGCGGATTTGATCCCGTATCACCCATCATCACAGTCAGAGATGTTACCACTCAGTTATTCGGTCGTGACTCACCTTATGTAGAATTGAGATGTATTTATGATTGGTTGATTACCGAGTATTAGCCATTGTCATCAATGTCAAATCCTTCTTAATGCTTATCGAATTTCGTTGTTTGCAAGGTATACTGTATTTAATCGCCAGCAACAAATGGATAGAATACTAGATATCCTAATAAATTCACTTTAACCTTCATCTGTTTTTATTTTTGGAAGATTGCTTTCTTTTCCTACGCTTTATGTGTTTTTTTTCTCAATCGTATTCTTTCCTGTGTGTACTAGCACTATTGAACATTCATTTTACGTATTCATTGTCATATCTGTTTATCAATGCTTTCAATCTGGTTTATCTAGTGGCTATTATTCTTTTGTAAAATTCATATCGCATCTGTGAAGGGATAAGTGACGAATCTAACGTAGAATTGCGTACTTTTGTCTTTTCTTAAATGTTGTATTTCTATCCTCTACTTCGCAGAAAGGTCCTTGTCATTTTTCATCATCAAGTATTCAGATTGACGTTTCTGATAGTTTTAAATCTCCAAGTTTTACGTTAATGTCGTTTCCCATTATACAGAACCATCCGTCAACGTCTGAAAACTACGGAACGTAAAGCATCATCAGAAAATACTTAGTAATTGGATTTATACACTATTTGTTTTTGTAGGATAGTGGAGCTCATTTGTATCACTGGATTAATAATCCAAGCTTTTTAAATCATTTTCAAATTCAGTATGCAACAGCTTGATTTATTCACTGACGTCCCGTTTTTGCGGTCTCGAGATTAGTTTATTTTTATTTAAACACATAAACATTGGTGCAAAGAGGCACCAAATAGATGTGCGTTACACAATTAACTAGATTTGTGTGTGAGCTGTGATACTGTCCGGGTGCCCAAACCCAAGCAGATGGTTTTCTTAGGGGGCCACACCCCGAGCATTTGACCTAAAGGTCTGATCCACGAGGCAGTGGAGCAACGTCAGGAGATACAATCTCATGGTAGCCGGTGACCAACGTTAGGTTGATACACCATTATTTTCTTTAGAATACTGGAGGCTATGTGCACCATTAGTTTGGAATGAGGGTTTTCCAACCCCCCTAGGTGGACCCTCCTTGTCCACCAACCCGGTTTGAGCCCCTGGTGGGCATTCGCTTTCCATCCTCTCAATTTCGTAGATAACACTCATGGTGCGAAAAGGCAGTGAGTAGGACTTCCCTGACAGTGGCTGTATACGCGTGGCTATGTGAGAGCATTTGGAGTAAGAGATCTGACTCCCCTCACTTTCGACCGAACCAGGACATTTGGGGGATTGAGATAAGTTACGACTTCTTTAGAAGAAATTATAAATGCTCAAACCTGTTAACTATTCAAATAATCTATACCCCATAGCATTTATTCACGTACTTCCATATTTCATATTCTGTCAATTAAATTTCACTCACAACAATAAACTACAAACTTGTCTGCTGAAGTATGTAGAAGAAAAACCCATACATTTTGGGTAAAAATGAATTTTAATCAAACTGAACAGTTAAGTGTATGATTATGCTAAACTCTTGATTTCGGTGAGACTATAATTTATGGACGAACCAATCATCTATAAGATAAGAAGTCTCGGATTTTGGCACGAAATTCATTCATCCATTTGGATAAATAGAGTTTTGGCATTATAGCTGATGTGACAGTTTGTGATGAAAAAAACCCCCAAATCTAATTTCTAACCCTAACCATCAAATTTAAATCATAATTCTAATTCCTCACTCAGGTTTATAACCGTCATTTGGTCTTGATTATTAGGTGGACCCTTTCAAGGTCAGTCTAGCATCACTCAACGGTCGTTCATAAATTATACTCTCATCAAGATTTCTTCTTGATTTCTTTGGATGATTAAGTTGTATTCGAATCTTTCTCCCTTACTATGAGTTTATTTCACATCTCATATATGTTTATATATTACTCTCAATTAACCTACATATTTTTTTGTGCAAATATAGATTTGCGGAATGGCCTATCCTCTTTACATTGCCCTACGTCGACATGCTGCACTTCAACATGATTCTGACTTTGATACAGTTCGTTATGGTCCATCAGATCTATTGGAATGTGAACCAATTGAATGCCCAGAATGTCATCTTGTAGCTTTTCAAGATGCAGTTGTATTAAAACTTCACATTAATCGAGTACATAAGAAATTACAACAAAATATAACACTTACATCTAAGGATTCTCAACCAGTTGAAGGTACGTTAGAATTATTACTATTATCATTATTATTCCTTTAGTAATATCGTAGTTAAGGACGTGTAATACATGTCACCTAGCCATCTCAATTGATTGACGGTTAAAAATAGTAATTTTGATTTTCGGGCATGGTTAAAAGTCGGTTATTTCAACCACACACAAATATGCGCGCGGCTGGTCATCTTTTTAAAACCGTTTATTCCAGCTCTTGTTGCAGTTGAGCATGACACTAGTATTGCAATTGATTTTCAATGGAACATAAACGTATCCTTCAAAGAAGATCCAACCACTACTACTACTACAACAAATAAATAATATTGAGGTTAAGAATGGGGTACTAGGCAAATCGGTTGATGGGATTGTGAATCCTATAGATCTTATAGCAAACGTGATGGCTCCCAAATGCCCTGGTACGGCTGTGAGTGGGGAGTGTTGGCTCTCTCTCTCTCTTCAAATACTCTCATATGGCCACATGCATACAACCACTATCACGGAAGTCCTACTCATTGCCTTCTGGCACCACGAGTGTTATCCAGCAGGGGCCTAAACAGGGTTGGTGGACACGGGGAGTTCACTAGTGGTGCACATGGACCCCAGTATTCTAGTGGGACGAATGGGGTATGAACCAATTATTGGTCACCATTTACCATGGGACTGCATCTCTTGACGTTGTTCCACTACCTTATGGATCAGACCTTTAGATCAAAGGCTCCGGATGTGGCCCCCTAAGAAAACCATCTGCTTTGGTTTGGGCATCTGGGTAGTATCCCATCCCTTACACAAACCAAATGAGATGTGTGGCGCATATCTATTTGGTGCCTTCTTGTACCAATATTTTTGTGTTTAAATAAATATATTATCATCTGGCTACTGAGATAAATGAGATCACATTAGTCTATGCCTATCCCATTTTCAGTCATTCTGTAATACAATACTGTCTTTATCTACATAAGTTAACTAATAACTAGCTCACTTTTTTTATATATAATTAATATACCACCTCTTAATTAGTTCTTAATAACATAAATATTACCACTGATGATTAATTAATAGTAAATAACGGGAGGAATTTTGTGGATATTATAGTAATTTAATAGTTGAGATCACGAGTCAGTTGAAGCTAGTCCACCATGGAAAACCTGGGAGCACTAGACGGCCGTTTCGTCCCATTATGGAACTCCTCAGCAGCGCTCATCCACGATCCCACCTTGCGAGATTCGAGCCCAGGACCAATCAGTCTCGCCCGCGAGTGCTCAACTTCGTGAATTATTTGAAGTTATACATTATCTCCGTTGGGTACCTTCTCAGTCGTCTAATGGTTAGGTGCTCGCGCGTGAGATTGATAGATCCTGGGTTGGAATCTCACGAGGTGGGATCGTGGATGCTCATTGTTGAGGAGTCCCACAATGGGACGAAACGGCTGTCTAGTGCTTTTAAGTCTTCTATGGTGGTCTACCTTCAGTTGACTCATGATCTCAACTATTAAAATTAATAATAAATAAATCTATAAGTAACTCTTCTATTGTTATCTGTCTAGTCATAGTGATCATTTTAATTATGTTTACATAATTTAATAGTCGTTTTAATTCATATTCTCTATGTGTATATTAAACAAACAATCGATATATTCATGCTGGCGATAAACATAATTAAATAATAAAATTCAAAAAATGTTTCTGTCATAATTAAATTAACAAATTAAACTAGAGATTGAATGTTGTAAATTTCTATGAAGATTGTTATATTGATTCTTTGTTGATGCTTCACAATGTGAAGGTTCACCTTCTAAAACACGTCAGTGGAAACATTTGAAATACTTATGAAATTTACAATGGATTGATTGATGAATCAGAAAATATGACATTTATTTGGGTCCTTTAGTATTGATCGTGTTCGACTGATCAGGTTTAAATATGCTCATCAGTCTAAGTCTTCTTTACCCTAATCTTATCTATTACATGTTTCGGTTTGGGCACCCGGGCAGTATCACCGCCTTCACACATATTAAATTAGATTTGTGTGGTGCATATATGTATTTGGTGCCTCCTTGTAACAATATCTGTGCGTTAAAAGAAATAAATAAATAAACAATTAAATAATCTTATCTATTACCGCTAATATTGTTACTAAATCTACTATTCTGGGATTTGCCTTAATAAGTTTATCTTGACGTATTAATGGGGGTATGGCAACTTGAACAGATGTACATACTTACCAGGTTCTATGTTGCGTTTGATTGACTAGTCTAAGTAACTCGAGATTGTATGTACTTTGTTTACGTGCTAGGTGGTTTTAGTTATCCGTTTTTGATGAGTAAGTCAGTCAGTCATTCAGTCGTACACAGCGTAGAACCAGGCACATGTATACAACTGTTCAAGTTTCCATACCCAATTAGCATGGAACTTAGATTCAAGGTTTCTTTTAACCACCCAACAATAAAGGTACTTAGTTTTTGTTATCTTCCATCCTGGAGAATAAAGTCCCGAAATGCCCTGGTACGGACAAGAGTGAAGAGAGTCATCTCTCCCTCTCGAAATGCTCTCACATGGCCACGCGTACACAGTCACTTCATGGGAAGTCCTACTCACTGCCTTTTCGCTACTGGGGTGTTGTTTATGAAATTGAGAGGATGAAGAGCGAATGTCCGACACTTTAACCAGGTTGGTGGACACGGAGGGTCCACTTAGGGGAGTTAGAAAGACCCTGATTTCAAACCAATGGTGCACATGAGCACCCAGGTAGTATCACAGCCCACACACAAATCAGGTGACTTGTATGGCGCATATGTATTCGGTACTCCTTTGTACCAGTATTTACGTGTTCAAATAAATAATAGTTTAATTTTTGTTATCTTCCACCTTGGGGAAATTTTCAACATTAACGATATTAACTTAACGTTTCTCTCCTCAACAAGTAAACGCCTCAGTATATTGACTTTTATTGTCTTTCAATCTGTTCCCCAAAATTTATTTGTTACATTCCCATAAACTATGTTATTTTACCAGCAGAACAACAACCGTAATTCACAGGAAGTTTCAGTTTCCTGAAACACAGATGATTTTGTTTTGAAGAGGTAATCGTAGAGACAAAGAAGTAACCATATGAGATCGATCTCAACTGTTTTGTAACTTTCAAATCTAACGATCAGTACTGATGAACACTTGTGGAGCACGAGATATTTTGTATGATCTGTGCCCGACGTACTAATCCTGATATTTACTGCCTTCCAATTGATCTAATCCACAGTTAACGATAGGACTTCAAGAAACAACTATTTCAGTCAATATAACTTACCGTATTGTCTACTCTCCCCTTTCCTCTTTCTTTTGATGGTTGACTGGATTATGAAGACCTCGACATTTGAGGGAAACCAAGGAATACAATGAGCGGCTCAAAACCAATTAGACGATTTGGACCTCGCGGACGACCTAGCCCTCCTATCCCATACACACGAACAAATGCAGATGAAGACAATTAATGTGGCAACAGCCTCTGCATCAGTAGGCCTCAGTATTCACAAAGAAAAAAGGAAGATCCTCAAATACAACACGGAAAACACCAACCCAATCAAACTCGATCGAGGAGCTGTGTAAGATGTGGTAACTTTCATGTGTCTGGGAAGGATCATCGATGAACAAAGAGGATCTGATGCAGATGTAAAAGCGAATATTGGCAAGACACGGGTAGCATTCCTTCAACTCAAAACAACTGTCAACAGATATCAAAGTTCTAATCTCCAAGGTGAACATCAAGCTAGTTAGTCTTACTGTACAGGGCTGCAAGTTCGAGAACTACCACAACCATCATCAAGAAGGTACAAGTATTTATAAATAGTTGTCTAAACAAGATACTTAACATCTATTGGCCGAATATCCTCAGCAATAGCCTACTATGGGAGAGAACAAACCAACTTCCAGCTGAAGAGGAAATTAGCAAACGATGATAGAAATGGATAAGACATACATTGTAGAAATCACTAAACTGCACCACAGTTCAGTCTACATCTTTTATTTCTGAAGGGGAGCGGAAAAGAGGAAGACCAAAGAACACATTACATCGAAAAATAGAACCAGATATGAAAAGGATGAATTAAAACTGAAAAGAACTGGGAAGGATTGCTCAGGACAGGGTTAGATGAGAGTAGTGGTTGGCGGTCTATGCTCCTCGACGAGGAGTAACAGGCATAAGTAAGTAAGGTTAATTTATCTAAATTCTATTTGTTCTCAAAAATAAATTCTCATAATAACATCATTAAGATGCATATCATTACTATTATTATTTATTATCGTAGATTTAGAAGTACCTTCCAAACCGCCGAAAATTAGCAAAACCAAAGCAACTAATCTTTCAATTCAAAAAAAGACTTCATTAAAAACTACTCGCCGTCGAGATATTACTGCGACTAATGCAACTACTACTACTACTACTACTACTACTACAGTAAATCGTTCACGAACTCAACCGAAAATTAGTAAACCTAAAGTTAAACATAAATTATCTATTATTAGTGGTGAATCAGAAATTCTCACTGATAATAATAATAATCATCTTAATCGTTCATCATTAAATGATGTATTATTACAAGATACTAATAGTAGTGAATTTGAACGTATGTTAAGTTCAATTGATGGTAAATCTGCTCCAGCATCTTGTCGATATTGTCATATTGAAGTGGATAATTTAAAAGAATTACATCTTCATTTGGAATTAGTAAGTTATTATTATTATTATTATTATTATTATTACTGTGATTATCAATGAATGGTTTGTAATCAGTCCATTGAAGCTAGACCACCATGAAAAACTTGGAAGCACTAGACAACTGTTTCATCCTACTGTGAAACTCCTCAACAATGTGTATTCACGATCCCAACTTGCGAGATTCCAACCTAGGACATCTATCAATCTAGCGCGCTAACCAGTTAATCACTAGACCACTGGACCATCCGGCATGCAACAGTGTTAATGTCTAACTTCAACTAATCCACAAAATTGAACAACACATCCACCATTGTGTTCAGTAAGTTACTATCTCACAACAGATCTGATTAAACTCGACTGATCACTGCTTCTCACTAGAATTCTAGTGCTTCCAGGTTTTCTATGATGGACTTATGATATCAACTATTAAAATTACTATAATATCCACAAAACTCCTTCTGATGTATATTTAATCGAAAATCAAGAATTAATAAACTATCAGGTATTTCATGAACATAACATGAATGATTGGATGTGAAAACCTGTTGTCAGTTTGGATTACTTGTGACGTAGGTGAGATATCTCAGCCAGTTGGGATTGTATACTTCATAGCAGTCCAGTCTGTTCCATTTTATGAAACATGGTTCATTAAAGTAGAAGAAACGTGTATACTGAATGTTCTGGTTTGTAGGTGTTCATTAAGTTCGATAGTCGGGAAATGTGTATTCCCATAATACCGCATACCTTGATTTGGAATATTGGTTAGTGTACAAGTAGATTGACAGAAAGGTGAGAGTGAATAAACTGAGGCGTAGCATCAATCCTTGAGTTCATTGACTTTTGATCTGAGTTATATTGATAAATGGAAGATGTTGGGTATTACAGTTTAGAATCAATCATAAAGATCTAGATTTATTCACCTTTCATCATCTTGAGCTTCAAATATTACTATTGTGAATGGTCTCTATTTCCAAGTATAGACTATATTGTATTTCTAGAAAGGGTTTTGTGGAGAATCGGTAATTTCAATAGTTCAAATCATGAATCAATTGAAGCTAGACCACCATGGAAAACCTGGAAATACTGGACGGCCGTTTCGTCCTAGTATGGGACTCCTCAGCAGTGCGCATCATCTGCTCACTAGTGACTGACTTCAAGAGATACTCCTGGAGTTCTAGTGAGAAGCCGTGACCAGTGGAGTTCAACCAGGTCTGTTGTGAGATATCAGCTCACTGAAGACAATGGTGACGGTGGCTCAACTTCGTGGATTGGTTGAAGTTAGACATTGATACCGTTGGATGCCGGCTCAATGGTCTAGTTGGTTAAGCGCCTGGTGCGAGACTGATAGGTAGGTCCTGGGTTTGAATCCCGCGGGGGGGCGGAATCGTGGATGCGCACTCCTGAGAAGTCCCACACTAGGACGAAACGGCCGTCCAGTGTTTCCAGGTTTTCCATGGTGGTCTAGCTTCAATGGATTCATGATTTCAACTATATTGTATTTGTTATTTTTTTTATTAAACATAGATTATAATCATTTGACTACTTATAAATTTTATCTTTTTTTTTAAGGAACATTTAAATCCTGATAATGATATTGAACAACTTGGTTGTCAAGTATGTGGTCGAGTTTTTTTTGGTTCAGGTGGACGAATTGATTTAATTGGACATTTACGTGCACTTCATCAAGATGATTTTCTTCAAAATATTTTAAAATGTCCACGTGCTGAAAAATTCGGACAAGATATTACTACTACTACTAATAATAATAATACTACTACTAATAATAATGATGGTAATGATAATAATATAAGTCATGAATCTATTCAATCATGTAAAGCACATTTCTCTTCACCACGTCTACGTCAATTACATATTTCTATGTCGAATAATAATAATAATAATAATAATAATAATACATTACCAAATACAGAATTTTCATGTCCTATTATATTTAATGATAAACAATATTTAACAGATCAAATTAAAAATTTAATTTTACAAACAGAAATTGCAGCAGATCAATGTGGTATTATGATATTAGCATATTGTTGTCCTAATTGTTCACGTTTATTTGTTGGAGATAATGTGCATACAAGGTAAGTAAATCATTAAGAGTAATAGTAGTTGTTGTTAACCCTGATGTCAGTCAGTCAGTAACAACGTGGAACTTCGTATGTACGTACATCAGTTCGAATTGCCATACCACATTAGCACAGAGATTCAGTTATCGATTCAAATCCCGTAGTGGAAGAGGTAGTGATGATGTTATTTAAGGAGTATAGTCCAGTGGAATAAATTTGGGAAGAAAATAAAGGATATGAAGAATACAGAAGATTAGAGTTTGAGAGAACACAAAGAGTGGATACACCTGCGCCATTACAAACGATTTTCAGCCATGTCATTCAAGATCTCTAACCATCGGTTGCTATCGTCTCGCGGTCCCCAACCAGGTAGTCTACATCTACCAACATGGCTTAGTCCACTTGTCAGTGACTTCATGGATTTGTGCCATGTTTTAGTCTGGCCGCCCCTAGCTTTCTTCCAACCTACTACAGCATAAAACATCGCACGTCGGTGGTCGGGCATGCGCAACACATGTCTCAGCCATCTCAACTGATTAAGTTTCACTACTTCATCATTGATGACGATCTCCAAGAGGTATTTTCTGGAGTTCTAGTGCGAAGTAGTGACCAGCGGAGTTCAACCGAGTCTGTTTTGAGATAGTAACTCACTGATAAAAATGATGAATGTGTCGCTCAATTTTGTGAATTAGTTGAATAAAGCTGTTACATTGAAGGTTAGCATCAGTTCTTCGTTGGTGATTTGAATCTCCTTAATGTTATCCAAGAATTGTATAGGACATTTGATGGACTGATTGAATGAATCTACTAAATGTCTCAATATTCTTATATTAAATACTTGCGACCTACACATTTTCCACTTTCGAAACCTATGTTCATCATGTAACGCATAGCTGGACTGCCTCGTGGTATAGTTGCCCTGCTAGCTTTTATTCGATTTCATGCTGTAAATACCCGGTCTGACTAACTTTCTTAAGTAATTTTGGACCGCTTAATATGACTTCCAGTTGGTTTTATTAATAAGTTGTTTTGTTTAATAGTACGACGTCCGAATTCACTTATACCTAGAGCTGTTAGTCTTGTACCGTGTGTATAGATGTTTCGCCGTAAAGCATAGCAGCGATATATGAACGACCATTAATATTCTCACTATTTGCAGCAGTCCTTACCCGTTGAATTTCTACAAATTCGAATAATTTTGCACTTTTCGTAGTATAAAATGCTTCTGAAGATTATTCTATTTGTAGTTTATATCAATGGTTGACTTGAGCTAAAAAACGTGCGGAATCTAGGTTTTCTGAGCAGCAGCTCCTAAATGCCCTGGTATGGCCGAGAGTGGGGTGGGCCCGCCCTTCCTCTCGAAATGTCCTCACACGGTCACGCGTATACAGCCTCTGCCAGGGAACTCCTACCCACTGCCTTCTCGCACCATGGGCGTTGTTTACGAAAATGAGAGGACGAAAAGCGAATGTCCGGCGCTTTAACCGGATCCCAAACCAATGGTGCACATGGGCCAGCTCCAGTATCCTGCGGGAACAAATGGCGTATGAACCAATTTTTTGGTCACCGGCTTCCATGGGACTGCATCTCCTCACGATGTTCTATTGTCTTGTGGGTCAGACCTTTAGAGATCAAAGGCTAGGAGTGCGGCCCCCCCCAAGAAAACCACCTGGTTCGGTTTGAGCACCCGGGGAGTATCACAGCCCTCACACAAATCCAATGAGATCTGTGTGGCGCATATGTTTTCGGTGTCTCGTTGTACCAATATCTATGTTTTGATTGAAATAAATATTCTACCTTCTTCCTCTATACTATACTATTTAAACTTGCGATCAGCTATCACAAATATATATGTATTTAATCACTGTGTAAAGTTATCATATCTAACTAGGTTTAGATCATTCTAGTTTTCATTGAATATACAAATATAACTTGATTCGTTTTTTTTTTCTTTTGATTTCTACATTCCTTTCCTAGATTTGAATCACATCGTAGTACATGTGAAGCGGTAGCAACAACAACAACAGCAACAATAAGTGATAATATGGAAGAGTCAATACATCCTATAGAATCAGATCATAGTATTGTTTCTAGTCCACATAGTAATGAAGTTTCTGATTTACCATTAGAATTTTTAGAACCTATAAAAACATCAAATGATAAATGTATTACTGAAAGTCAAACTACATAAAATGTGTGTGTGTGTGTTTGTGCGTGTCTGTTTGTATTTTTCTCTTTTGTACGTCTTCTTCTTCAAAGATATTCATGTATATTGTCTCATACCTATCTATCTATCTATTTACTATTATTATTAATAATACTATGAATGCTTTATTCGTATTTAAATATTATTACAATGATCATTATAACTATTATTATTATTATTATAATCACATATATCTTATCCGTATACTTTGTCATTTACACACACACACATCATCCTCATCATCATCAGCAGCAGCATCTTTGATGTTTATTACGAAGAAGAACTAAGAACTAGGCGAACAATAACTACATATATATTTCTCTCTTTGTACAATTCCTCATTTTTATGATATACATATATATATATATTTGTGTATAATATTTCTAAAATGAAATTATATTATTATATAATTCAGATTATATCTAAAATCGAACTATATCGTGTTTAGTAATCTGTTCCGCTATTATTCTATCCGTTCTATTTACCTAATTGGATTGAATCATTGACTCTTAACATTTAGATCAGTTAGTCATTAACAATGTAGAACTTTGTACGTACATACATCAATTCGAATGACCATATTACATGAGCTTAGGGATATAGTTGTTGATTCAAACCCCAGATTGGTAGAGGTAGTAAGAGTATAAGCAGTAACATGTAGAATGCAGCTTCAAATCGTGTAGATAAACTTAAAAATAAACTATAGGATTAGACAATTGTGGAATTTGTGATATATTTCCTCGATAGGTTTTGGTTATACACATAGAGTGAACAATAAAAAAACGCAATTTATAAATTACCACTGGTAAATGGAGTTGAATGCCTTGGTATAGGCATGAAGGCCAGTTAGTAACAACGTAGAACTTCGTACGTACATATATCAGTTCGAGTTGCCATACCACGTTGGCACAGAGATACAGTTATCGATTCAAATCTCGTAGTGATAGAGGTAGTAAAAGTATAAACAGTAATCAGAAATATTAGGGTTTGGAGATGTTATTCAAAAGGGAGATGAAGAATTTAGGAGAACACAAATAGTGGATGCACCTGCGCCATTGCAGATGATTTTGAGCCATGTCATTCATCTCTAACCATCGGTTGCTGTCGTCTCGCGGTCCCCAACCAAGTAGTCTACACCTACCAACACGGCTTAGTCCACTTGTCAGTGACTTCATGGATTTGTGCCATGTTTTAGTCTGGCCGCCCCCACCTTTCTTCCAACCTACTCCTATACTATTGAACACCGCACGTCGGGGCAGTCGGTGGTTGGGCATACATAACACATGTCCGTCTTCTTAACTGAAGTTTAAGCAATTGATTTGCCATCCTCACATAGTACCCCTTTGCTTAGGCATGGAGTTATTTATGTCAATGCGACTGAACGTTAAATCAAGGGGGTGGGATAGATTTTCTCCAAGTTTTTTATCAAATGAGCAAATTCCGGCGATAACAGACAATCACAAAAGTACCCAACCATATCATACCAAACGTCTTAAACAGGGATGTTGAATATCAAAAGCCCTGATTTCGAACCAGTAATGTTCATTGCCTTCGGGACACGAATGCCATAGAAATTTAATTTGGCCAATCTTAGTAATGCAATGAGAAGACGAAGTTAATCAAAATTATGTGATATATTTGCGCAACACATCACAAACAATCTGGTCATTTATATACTTTTTTATATGAAAATTAAAAGATCAACTAGACAGGTTAAATGTAACCTGTAATAAAGAGAAATAAAGTATACAAAAACAATGTGATTACCACTCTGGATAATAAATCAGCATTAACAGGTTAAGGGTAAGGACAAATTGTATTTGATGGCACAAAGAGGGTTTTACTTTCCGTATAGGCAAGGCATCAATAAACCTTAGTATACGTCCTTGAAGGCTTTTGTACAACACTACAAATACTGATTTAATGTTAACTTTATAGCAAGTCTCAATCAAATGTTTCACAATGGAGTATAATATCTATCTATCATGTGACCTTATTTGATCATTATAATTCATCTGCTTCTTTAGCCATTTATGTCACAATGGATACTATCCCACTACTTTGTGTATTCAGCTATCACTCCCCACCCTCACGAGTGAAAGATTTGATGAATGAACTCCTGAGAAAGTTATTTCCTTCAATTTGAACACCAAAGATAGTATCCCTACCTTATTTAGAATATATATTAATGAGAATCTATTCCATTTATCATATAGCTTAACTAACTATTCAGATGATACAATGAAGAAAAAGAAAGCGATTTATTTACAATGAATATCTTTGATACACAATTTAGTATAAACATAAATAAAATAAGAAAGAAAGAAAAAAAAACAACCAAAGAATAACATTTATATATATATTTATTAGTTATGATTGAAAACTTCGTTTCGATTGTATTTCATCTAATAATTGTTGTAATTCTTCTTCTGTAAAACGTGGACTATCTAAACTTGGTAATAATGCTTTACTTTCTTCAGCTGTATCCGGTAATAAATTAGCTAATGAAGCTAATTCAAAATTATGAAATCGTTTTTGTGTTAAAAGACTAAAGAAAGAAAGAAAGAAAAAATAAGAAAAATTATTGATTTATTTTTATTGAACTTACTTTCGTACACTTTCAATGGTTTCACGATTATTAAATTTAGAAAATTGTGTTACATAATTTAATGTTTTTGTAAATACTGGTGATAATTCAAGTTCATGGATTGTTGCATTTTCATTTTGTTCTTTTCTATATAATTTAAAATTAAAACATTAAAAATTATTGCTATAATAGTTTATACATGATATAACAATTATTAAGATACTTTATTGCCTCTAAATGCCCTGATATAGCCGAGGATAGGGAAAGTCCTGACCGTTGTTGCTACCTTGACGTGGTGATCGGGCTTGCCTATCGTGATGAAGCAAATGAGCTATACTGGTTGGAACAACCGTTCCTCAAGGTCCTACCATACCAGACAGGTCGGTTGAAGAGCGGATAGGGAGAGTCAACTCTTCCTCTTCAAATGCTCTCACATGACCATGTGTATACAATCACTAACAGGGAAATCCTACTCACTGCCTTTTCACATAAGCGGTGTTGTTTACGAAATTGAGAGGAGAAAATGTGAATGTGTGACGCTTTCACAAGGTTGATGGACACGGAGGGTCCACTTAGGGGAGTTCAAAAACCCTTATTTCAAACCAAATGTGCATATGGGCTCCAGTATCCTGAAGGAACAAATGGCATATGAACCCATTGTTGTTCATTATTTACCATGTGACTGTATCTTCTGACGTTGCCCCACTGCCTTGTGGATCAGACCTTTAGGTCAAAGCCTCGGGTTGTGGCCCCCTAAGGAAACCACCTGATTCGGTTCGGGCACTCGGGTAATATTCCAGTTCTCACACAGATCGAGTGAAAAAGTGTAGTTTATACACATTTGGTGTTTTCCGGTATCAATATTTATGTGTTTAAATAAATAAAGTCAAATGGAACATGGAACTTGATACATATGTATATTGGTCTAAATTGTCACACCCCATTGAAAAAACGAAATGAGATTTTCAGGGCGGATCCTACAGCAGAAGTACTAAAAGGTTTAGTGGTAATATGAAATATTGTGCATCAAAGATAAGAAAAATATCGACCGCAGTTTCAACCTAAACATGGTGGTTGGGCTTGCCTGTCGTGATGATCCAACCGAGCTATATTAGTTGGGAAACTTGATTTTTAGGTCCTAGCATGCCAGGCAGGTTAATTGGAGGGCAATAAGACTAAAAGCATCAGACCTGTGGTGAGACTATGAAGTCGTACTACTGAATGTCTTGAACTGTGATGGAAGCAAATCATTTTTCTTAGACAATCAGCATCTTCGATGATGCTATCTCACATCGGATGGAAGGGGTTATGAGATGTCAGCCATAAGTGTCATGTCACGTTATCCAAAGGATTTTTATCTAAGGCGTTAAGGCTTTTTTAAGCACGGATTTAACACGTTTCTAACTACTCCATAGGAAGACCGTAAAACTAGCATCAAAAAGTCGTCTGTGGACAAGCCGGCAGGTCTACACTACTACTAACACAGTTCTCCCTTCGTACCTCTCAAGAAGAAATATCAAGAAGTTACAACCCCTCATACATGTAACGGCGCATGAGATTTTCTTGTTTATAATCAGTTTACGTATCCCTTAAAATAAGGAATTCAGTTTTGGTGATGACCTAAGTTAGGTAGTCACCTGTACTAATACGAAATTAAAAATGCTTAACAATCCGAGTTTTTCCTGCAGGTCGATAATTTTGTAGAAGAATAAAATGCGTGAAGCAGTAATATACCAAGTTGCCGAGATGAGCGGCAACACGTTTGGTAGTGATTAATAGTCTTATAAAAATTTAAGAGGTTTTCAGAAAATATACAGCACTTTCTGTCTACACTACACAATGACCGTTATCTGAGAGACTAATGAATAGAAACCTAAGGAAAGATAAAATTTTCAAGTCTTGAGTGTTAACGCTATGTGGTTCGATATGCTATCCCAGTCACCATCGTTGGTCTGAGAATTCCTGCCTTTTGATAACCACTCTGGATATTACATTTCAAGAAGTATCTTACTTGTTGAATATTCACTAAATGTCTTTGCACATATCTGTTTCCCATAAAGTTGGCTAATATCGATTAATCGAGATAGCTCTTTCGAAATGACCTACTGAAAATACAATCTGTGGTCTGGACCGAAATAAGTACTAATAAATTCTGAAAAACCGCATGTTTAACCATGCACATTTGCGCAACCAAAATAAGATGCACTGTATTTCGAAGGTGAGAAAAACTGCGAATGTATATTTGAAATCTTTTGAACGATTCAAATATAATATTATACCAAATAATCAAGTCTATTACAAAACGAATAAAGTAAGACAAACCTATGTTCCAACAATATTTTAACTTCAGCAAGCATAAGTGTATCGGCATTCTCAAAATCTGGAAGATGTTTAATTC